CCATTTTTGAATGAATGAGCAGAAAAGTATGGAAAAAGTCACGCATTTAATACGTAGTCTCACAACACTAGTTTTCCATGTGAACTTGAATAGGATGAGACCGATTTGTTTTTCAAAACTAACATTTATTGTTGGTATGTAAACATATTCAATACAATTATTTATAATACACAATAAATGCAAAACATTCGTATTAAAGTTCTGTTTTCTCTTAAGCTTTTTATGTGTTGCTCAATAATGTTGGATCTGAATGTAAGTAAATATTTTTTAATTAAAATGTCTTGCGGACCGACTACAGTACCCTTCCATGGTAGACGAATACGGGCAGATGCATCAACACTGGTAAACATTGTTAAGTCAAAAATATTAAAAAATTTCTTCAAAAAAAATTATTTTTAAATATTTTTGTAGATGCTGCCGTTCAACTGTTGTCATGATATGCGTTTTTCAACAAATTTAACTCATAGGCATATTTTTTACTTTTTTATTGGAATATTTTTTATAACAAATTTGAATTCAAAATGCACACGACTTTTTAGAATTAGCAAGAAATCAGATCAGAGCAAAAATCGAACTAATTCAACCTAAAACTTCTTTGTTCCTCTACGAAGAAGCCTCTACTTATTTTTCACAAAACAGTTTTAAAAATTTGACATATCAATGTTCTCAAGCGTTGATGCATCTATCTGTATTCTTCTACCATGGTAAAATGACGAAGGTAAAATCATTCCAAATAACCATATCCATCTCTGTATTTTCTGTAACTTATCCTGTCAAATTACCCCGTATAGAAACCAGGTTCAAATCTTTGATTTGTGTACATACACATAAAGGTGAGAATACATAAAACGCCTTTTTGACTGGCTTAAGTCATCGGCTGGCTTCTTTGTAGATGAACAACGTAGTTTTAGGTTGACTTAGTTCGATTTTGACTTTAAGCCCCCTCGTTCTTTTCCGAAGAAGCCAGCCGATGACTTAAGGGTGGAAATACATAAAGCGCATATCTGGCTGGCTTAAGCTGGGAATACATAAAGCGCTTATTTGGCTGGCTTAAGTCATCGGCTGGCTTCTTCGTAGATGAACAAAGGAGTTTTAGGTTGAATTAGTTCGAATATGGCCCTAGGCTCCTTTGTTCATCTACGAAGAAGCCAGCCGATGACTTAAGCCAGCCAAATAAGCGCTTTATGTATTCCCAGCTTAAGCCAGCCAGATATGCGCTTTATGTATTTCCACCCTTAAGTCATCGGCTGGCTTCTTCGGAAAAGAACGAGGGGGCTTAAAGTCAAAATCGAACTAAGTCAACCTAAAACTACGTTGTTCATCTACAAAGAAGCCAGCCGATGACTTAAGCCAGCCAGATAAGCGCTTTATGTATTTCCAGCCTAAGTCATCTGGCTTCTTCGTAGATGAACAAATGAGTTTTAGGTTAACTTAGTTCTATTTTGACCCTAGGCTCCTTTGTTCATTTCCGAAGAAGCCAGCCAGATAAGCGCTTTATGTATTCTTACCTTATGTGAATAATTCTGAAAATAATGTAAACTTATGATTGCATAAGTTTACCGTATTTAATTAAAATTGGCAAATCGCAATTTTACGATTTCTTTTTCTCATTGTATTGCCTAAATATATGATTTTGCTGCAGTTATGAAAACAGAGAGAGAGAGAGAGAGAGAGAGAGAGAAGATTTCCAGTCTAAGTGGCATTAAGTTAATTGTTCTACATCTCTATTTTATATATTCTGAGTTTATACAACAGTTTTCAGCTGTTTATTCTATGGGTTTGATACTTAAAGACTAACTAAATAAACAGATTCGTGCTAAAATTACATTACATTGTCGTGGGTAATTCGATTTATGTAGCTTCCAACTTTTTGCTGAGTATTGATTTTGAAATGTATATACAGCGCAAACTGAAGATATCACTTGTATTGGGAAATATGTACCTCCATATGCAAATATTGAAATCAAAGACAAATTGTTTTCACCATTACTATGTGAAAACTGCGATCAAAAGCCAGAACACACAGTTTTAATGAACAATGGACATCAGCTTTTAATTAAAATGATGTACCGCGATACTCACAATGTACCAACCCTAGTTGGCGGAATGCTAGAGGACAAGGGAACCTATCGCTTTAAAGAAATTTATTTTAGTTGGCTATTTGAAACACCTGAGGAATGGTCATTCAACGAAGTGAATTTTCCAGCTGAACTTCATATTGTATTCTATCACACTAAATATGGAGATTTAGAAAATGCTTTAAATGCCGATGAAGGGATTGCGGTACTATGTATAGGGTTTAGGGTAAAAGTATTGGACTCTTAATAACAGATATGAAATATACTAACATCACTGCATCTTTAGGTTAGAAGACACAATACACCCAGCGCATTTCTACGCATTGTCGATACTTCGTTGTCGAGGGTTCTTCAAGCTACCAGCAATACAACGGTACCTAAAAATGGCAGTGTTTCGTTTTCTGATTTTCTGCCAAAGGATTTGAAATATTTTTACGGCTATACGGGTACTATGCTTGCCACTGATACCCCTTGGCCTACAACATGTAAAGCGAAAGTTATATGGATTGATGTGGAAGAAAGCCTACAAATACATCCGGATCAAGTATGTGCTAGTCTACGAATCTCTATTTGTTTAACCTACTTTTGTTACAGGTGCTGGAGTTAAGAAAATTACGTAATTTCCATGGTAAATCCCATTTTCCGCATGCAATAGAGTATTCACGGCCAACGATTCCTGTCTATAGGTCCCTAGATCCTAATGGGAAGGATATTGAATATGATAATGGCCAACAACCAACAGCGAATGTGTGGTGTCTTATTGTTATTTTCTTTTTGTATTTAGCTGTGTAAAACTAATTTCTAAGACTAAAGGCGAGAATACATAAAACGCTTTTTTGACTGGTTGTAGATGAGAATATATAAACCGCTTTTTTTGAATGGCTTAAGTCATCGGCTGGCTTCTGCGGAAAAGATCAAAGGATCGTAGGACCTAAAACTCCTTTATTCCTCTACGAAGAAGTCAGTCGATGACTTATAGCCTCCATGTAACGGTACCTCCAGATATTCGGTATTTTGTTGATTTCCATTCCACGGAATTGTTCCAAATTTGATCTTTATAGTTCGGAAAGATTTTTACCTCCGGTGGCAGAACATTGTCTATAAAGGTTCTGGTTTTACTAAAGCATCGATGTAACGCGACCTTCGAATATTCGATATTTTGGCGATATAAGCAACACTTTCTAACGGATTTGTCTAAAATGATGTATTTTTAGTTTGTAATAGACTTTGGCTTCGGAGCTGAACATTGTCTTTATAGGTCCCAGGTTTCCCAAAACGCGCATATAACGATACCTCACATTTACCCCACAAGTTTTCAAGTAATTCAATTTGGGTATTTAAGACTCGCAATAGATAACCGTTTTTAATGACCCACCAACTACTTTATTGTATTTTGAAAACGTAAACTGCACTACTCAATCGATCTCAGGGGCATATGAAATTTAGAATGGAATTCGTATGAATCCAGATACTTTTATTTAAAAATGGCAATTGAAAGTTTGGCCCAGCCGAACTCCATGTTTTTACTTGTTAATCTCTCGCTTTTGAGCTGACTTTAAATGTACAGGGCGAGGTAAAAAAAACTGCAACAAAGTCAAACACCATAATTTTTACATTTTTTTAAATTTCATTGAATGAAAACAAAAAATGTCGGAAATATCATGAAATTTTAGAATAAGTTTAGATTTGTTCGAATTGGTCACCTTTGACACGAATGGTGGCCATCAAATGGCCAATGAATCCGCCACACTCTGCCCGAGTGTTGCTCTGCGGTAATTTGGTCCATTCCCGGCAAAGCGCTTGCTTGAGGTAAACGACACTTTTGTATTTTTTAGTGCCAACCTTGCTTTCCAAATACTCCAGACACAATAGTCCAACGGATCGGTATCCGGAGATTTTGGTGGCCATTGTGCGTTGGAAATGAAGCGAGGAACCTCATTTCGTAACCATTCTTGGATGGCGCGTGATGAGTGCGATGGTGCTGAGTCCTGTTGGAATGTCCACGGTCTGCGGCCAAAATGTTTGCTTGCCCAAGGCTTTAATACACCCTCCAGAATATTTTCGCTATAATATATATAATACGAGTGGAGAGCGACCATCGGCTGTTATGGTGGCCCATACCATCACCATGGCCAGCGCCATGGTCAACACCGAAGGTGCACATTTTCAGCTGATCCCTTTGGCAAGTAAACACGATCATTTTGTTTGTTTACAAATTTCTGGACAGCGAATGTTTTCTCATCGGAGAAAACCAGATTCGGCAGTTCACCATTATCGACCAAGCGTAACAACTCTTTAGCTCTTTTGAGTCTATTTTCTTTCTGTTGCGGCGTAAGTTCATTCACTTTTTGCAATTTCAATGACTTTACACCGAGCTCATTTTTCGACGCGGGTTTCGATCGTTTCATTTCGAACCATTTCTGCTGATGTTGCTGTTTTCTTTCGTCCACTTCCTTGTCGTCGGGCTACGGCAATGGGCGAGGGTACGAGACACAAAAGATTTATTCACATTAAAATGCTGGAGTGCTCTAACGATAGCCACTTGTGGTTTTCCAGCCAAATATAAAGAAATCACACTATCACGCTTGAATTCCATCACGAATAACTTTTTTTTCTGGAAAATTCTCACCAAAAGGCTTTGGTACGCTTGTAAACAATATGATGAGCTGTCACTGGAATAATTTTAAGAGCTGTCGGACTAGTGACTTAGAATTGACAGCAGTCTGAAATTGGTTGCCGTTTTTTCATCTCACCCTGTATACAGATAAATGCTTACAAGCAAAATATTATGCAAAGTACATTTTCTATTCACCATTGTAGACAGATTTATTATCGTTTACATTAGCAATGAAGAACACTATAAGTTGCTCTGTTCCAGAACTGCAAGAATAAAAAAAATACTACGATAACCGATTTTTTCTTTGCGATATCAAAAACAATTGCAAAATAAGTAAATACTTGCAGGTTCTGGAACAGATCAAATATAAATATTTTTTAAAAAAAAAATAAGAATATATTTAATACTAAAAAACTTAATTTAACTTATTACAAATTAAATTCCCATACAATAAAACTTGTACAAAGATAGTAGTTCTTATGAAATTATTGCTACGACGCCATAACTTCTACATTTGGCGATTTTGCGGGTGGCAAAACATGGTCTTGATCTTTTGCAACAGTGTTGGCCGGAGCTGAAGACTCATTAACATTGATATTGCTTTTTTCTTCCGATTCTCGTTCCTGTGTTACGTTCACATATTTTCTTTCATAGTTTTCTTCATTAAACCAATCCTTATGAGATTCCAAATAGCTGCAAAAAGAACATAATAGTTTTATATAATATATAATAAACTGTTATGTTTGATTTTTTTAAACCTCATTCAATATAAACGCGATTTAAATTGACAATCACTGAATTGTTTGGCAGTATTTCTAGGGAAATTATTTCTTCTTTAATCGTAATAAAAACGTTAACAACTATTGTGAAGAGCAATAACAATTTCAAACAATTCAGCATTTTAAAAACCACTTATCCAATGAAACGCTGTTGTGACACTATGACAGTTGCCATGATTTGTGTATGCTTATATAAATAAATGCACAATATCGTATCAGTATTAGTTCATCTGATAAGAAAATGGGCAAAACCACCAGTTGTGCAAATACACGTCGCCCACTCCAAATCAATAAATACTTACTTAACAAATGTATCCAAATGTTGTAGTATTATTTTCAATTTTTCATCACTCATCGTGGATGCATTCAAAAATTCCGGCAATTTAACTAAAAATATAGATGGGAAATTCAATAGAATTTAATTCAAATTATGTATATCCACGAATACCTATAAGTCGAGCTAAGTGTGGTGCTCCAAATATCATTGAGGGTCCTGGCGGTGCATTTGAAGGTATTATGCGCCATGATAAGACATTCTGTAGGAAATCACGTATTTGCGGAGAAATGGGTGCCAACGACTTTAAATGATTTAAACCAGAAGCCGGGATATTGCAATTCAATGGTGTAGGAGCTCCCGCGCTGGTACTCGCAATGCTGGCTAAACAATTCTCCAGAGTGAAATCACATTCGTCACTACGATGTGATCTCAATTTTCTGCGTTGAGGCTGTTCTTCTTGGGATGTGGCTGGAGTCTGATTGGTCGGGGCGTCAGCCGCATTAGCTGAGTTCTGTTGTGCTTCAATGGGATTTTCTAATGTTGAGTTTGAAGATGAATTTACGTTGCCAGATATACTACCGGCAGTTGTTGTCATATCGTTTGTCTCGTTTTTGATATTAAACCAATCCAGGGAAAATGCGGGTGCCGGTACATATGTGAAAGAATTTAGATTTTCTTCCGACAAGTAGGACAATGCATATTCCTTTTCCTCCTTATATAGCAAATACTCATGTATGGTGAAATCGAAGTAAATCCGTAAGCCATCAGCAACTTCCTTTAGTAGAGCAACCCTAAAATATTATATTATTATTACAAATTTTAAACATAGCTACATGTCTAGGCATTTTATATTAAACTATTAAACACCTAGACACCTATATCTCTGTCAGAGTTAAATCAGTAACTGTTTAATCTATTTGTGGGCAGGTTTTTTGTTATCTCCCTGTCAAATGTAACCCAAGTAAATGTATTTAACGTCGCTACAAACAATTTTGGACTTCTGGCTTCAATTTCGACTCATACTTGTTATCATTTTCATCATATCAAATTTGTGACATTTTTTATTAGTAATAAATTTAGCTAGACAATTTTATACAAAGTACCGTTTCCGCTCCTTGTACTCTTTCGTTTTTATTTATCCTTTTTGTCTTAGTACCAAAACGTACCATTTTCAATGAAATTTAACATAAAACAAGTTTAAAAGTATCAGTCGGGTTTGCCGTGAGATATATACCATCAGTCAATGCTCGATTATTTAAATATCTATCATTTTGACTTCTGTTATAATTTTTTAAATTGCTGACTCTCTATGGAGTTGGTTCCGAAGGAATGGGCCAATATTGTCCATTTCGTATTGGACCTAAATAAATATGATATAAATATATAGATGTGCTACGTTTGGATGGACAAAATTACAAAAAAACCTAACATTTATATCCAATTTTAAGCGAAGTCATAAATTCCATATTCATCTGAGGTTTCTGGTTGAGAAAAATATTTAGATATAGCAAGTTGTAAAGAATCGATGGCTTGTTTCGCAACTTATGACAGATAAAAGTATTGAAAATTATGACACATTACGGGTGAGGTACCAGAAGGGTTTCGCAGATATACAGCATAAGATGAAAAAACTGCAACCAATTTCAGAATGCTGTCGTTTCTAAGTCATTCGTCCGACAGCTGTTAAAATTATTCTACTGACAGCCCATTATATTGTTTACAGACGTACAAAAGTATTTTGGTGAGAATTTTCCATTTGGCATACATACATTTTGGCAGCAGACCTTGGACATTCCAACAGACCTCAGCACCATCGCACTCAGCACGCGCCACCCAAGAATGGTTACAAAATGAGGTTCGCCGCTTCATTTCCAGCGCACAATGGCCACCAAAATATCCGGATACCAATCCGTTGGACTATTGTGTCTGGAGTATTTTGGAAAGCAAGGTTGGCACTAAAAAATACCAAAGTGTCGATCACCTCAAGCAAGCGCTTCGCCGGGAATGGGCCAAAATACCGCAGAGCAACATTCGGGCAGCGTGTGACGGTTTCATTGGCCGTTTGAAAACCATAATTCGTGCCAAAAGTAACCAATTCGAATTTTATAACAGTTACATTTTATTAAAAATGTTGATCATTTGTGGGGGAGGTACTTGATGGAGTGGACCAATATTGACGAATTTCACACCTGAAGAGTATACCGATATTGCCCTTTTCCGAACTCGATCTAAGTTTGATTATATTTCGATGTACCAAGTTTGAACCAAATCGAATACTCCCTTCGAGAGATATCTTGCGTACCAACCAGACAGAGACAGACAGACGCACTCCAAATGTCCTGAAACAGACCAAAGAGACCTAGGGTCTAAAAAACCGTTAGTTCGATGATTCACGTTTTGGCCTATCAAATGATATATACCCTCTCTAGCAATATGACTGAGGGAACAAAGAAGTAAGAGAATTCGTGCTCTAACAGAACAATATTTACTACTTTTAGTACGAATTTATGAAAACTTCACATTTTTTATGTTCCGCACCAATAGCAACCTCCTCCTGTCTCGACAACTTAACAGAAATGTTTTGTCCATTTCGTACGTTTTTATACTTTTCCTACGTATATGTTTTTAAAGATTGCCTCTCAATATATTTGTTTACATAACTATTAGTTATAAACACCAGGATATGTGGGTATTTTGTCGCCAACTCAGCGAAAATTGTTTTTCCTAAGGGACGAGTGTTAGACTCCAGCCGACAGTATGGTAACTTATTGTCCGGTCGAGTGAATACTCGGTGGTCATATAATTTGTATAGCTCCTCTACTTACGTTGATATGATTTTTTCGACATCCTTTTCTTTTTTCTCTGTGGTTCGTTGCTGTGCAGCACGTCGTCGAGGCGGACCTTCCGGCTGGTTGTTTGCAAACACCATTTTCAAAGCTGTCTGCTTAACAAATTTCTCTAATATAGAGATGGCTGGATTTCGTGATGGCAAAGCATGTTGTTTTCCATACTTCACAATCATGTCATGATCGTATTCCAAGTACTGTCGTAAACGTTCACTAATACGTAACATAACACGATCCTCGTCGTGAAAACTCTCGATTGAACTGCAACAGGAGTCTGTTTCATCTAAAATATAAAAGGGGGAAACGCTTATGTAACAAATAAACTACGCAAAGAAAATTAACTCATTTGTTTACTTTTCATTGATGATTGATTGGAGAAAAACATCAATTTTCTAATAAAAATCCGTCTCTTTGTTATGTTTTACGATGCATATTAGTTGTATTTGCTGTTGTTATTACTTGAAATGTTCTGAGGTCATAATAATGCAATAATTTTTAGCTGTTTTGGTCTCTTTGTATTTTTCTTGAACATTTATAATTATAATTCGACATAAAAATTTTAAAAACTCCCTCGAAACATTACTATTGCACAAGTACAGCTGTTTTCTTTTTTTTTAATATTGATTGGGGGTGTGTTATGCCTGGTGCATACTTTGGTTTTGCTTCAACACTATTATCGATTATACATAGTAGCATTGTGTACATATTTTGTTGTGCGCACATTGACCCACATTCTTTTGACCAAGCATTATGACATGTATGTATGTAAAAAGGGGGACATTGTTCTTACACCAACCTCCCACCACCCTGCACATTTAAACTTACCATCTTTCATGGAATAACGTTCATTTTTCTCGAACGTACTGCCAGAACTAAAATTATCTTCGGATAAACCTCGTGGTCGAAGTTTGTTTGGCGATGTACTAGCATCAGCTGAGTCTTCTGAGTTAATTGCTGTCGTTTTGCGAGACCTCTTTTTATTTTTGTGTTCCTTTCGATATAAATATGCGCCTCTGAAAAAGATAGAAAAGTATGTACATTGAATACCTATTATTTATTTAAGTATGCCATGAGTTCAACATTCTGCCGAAATACTCTGCAAATATTGCACAGTTCTGGTCACATTCGATGTTACTTACAACTGCAGCTGAGCCTTTTCAGCCAAATCTCTTTGCAGCTGGCGATTTTCTTCGGTATCCTTTAGGACATAATCAGCACTAACCTTGCGATCCCAGGAACTACTCCAGCCTTGAAAATGCACTTTGTATTGAATATGCTTACGCCCTCTCTTATCTTTGGTCTCGTATGTTCCTAAAATCTACAAAATAAAAATTATTTTTCATTTTGAATTAACTTCATAACTTTGGAATAATAATTTTGGCCGTGAATGAACCTTTCAAGGAAAAAGTTTAAGCCTTAAATAGGACACACGGTCTTTAAGAGTGCAATTAGCGCGAAAATTAATTATGACATTGTCATTTCCATGAATCCTAAATTTCTTGCAACTGCATACTTCAATCCTACAAACCTTGCAATTTCGTACATACAAACTATTACCTTGGAATCATACAACACTTTCGCTTTTGAAGCGTCTGGTTCATAACACAAAACTTTTTCTCCTTTTTCAAAATATCGAGATCTAGGGCCACGAGTTGAAACCATTCCGGAGTCTCAAAAAATTGCAAATAGAAATAATATATTTTAACAGGACTCTTAATTTAATTTATTTACTTGGAAATTTCGAGTAAAAGCATAAAGAAAAACATGAAAATACAGCTGTTATGTGCTTCTTCTTGAATATTCTCTCTTATTCTCATGTGAGCATATAAACAACCGCACAGTTTGAGTAGCATTGTTTTGAAAACAGCTGTGGTTACTTTCATGGGGTGGTTTGCGGTATTATGATAAATATGTATGTACTTATGTATGTAAATCAGTCGTTTTTTGGTTTTATCAAAAATAAGGGATTAATGTATGTAACTAAATAGTTTCATTCTGCTTCCTTAATGTACACATATAAAAATTATTTTTTTTTTGAATTTGCCTATCATTACAAGGCAGCTTTGAGAATATTTCGAGTATATATGTATGCATGTATTCCTACTCATTTTAATCCTAGCAACGAGCTATGTATGTACAAAGAGCACAACAATGATATGTATGATTGAACCTTGTTTCCATGGCCAAAATATACTTCGATCATGCTTCTTCCCTTGAATTGTACTATGTCAAAGCTATACGATGCGTACATATCCATGCACATACCTAAATATTTACATTTGTACTTATATAGATTATGCTTCAAGCTAAAATTCGGAACTTATTGTTGGTACTACAAACTGTGAATCTTTAATCATTTTATATGGTATGTTCCAGAACTGCAAGAATATAAAAGTTTTTACTACGAGAACCGATTTTCCCTTTATGATATCGAAAAAATTGCAAAAATTGTAGATTTCTGCAGGTTCTAGAACAGAGTATAGTTTCAAATATGTTTATGGTTTTTATTAAGCTTTGAGAAAATAACAGACTTTCATAGCTCCAAGTATGAACCTATATGCCATGTTTCAACAATATATAAAAGATGTCTGTTTAACACATGAACTTGCGAATAGCGTGATTCACACGTTTTGCATTCTTTGAATCACACAAGGATGCTGGTTTGCTAGTATGACGAAAATGATAGCTACACATATAATTATATGAATTGTAAGTAGCTATTATTCATTTATGTCAACAGATTCATTTATTTATTGATCTCAGATATTGCCGGTTTCAAGAGAGCATTCATAGCTGCTCACATTAAATATCTATATTGTTTACAGATGTATTTAACTATGTTGTATTTATATTATTCCAGAAAATCCACGCAATCTGTTTTTAATTCAATAAAACAATGAATATAGACATGCAAATTATTTACTTATCATATAAATTTCTATCGATTTTGTATTTGCAACAACTTGCCAAAAATATGGGAGAGTGAATTGTTCTCGCTCTTGAATATTCGAGACCATATGTTATTAATGCCTACAGTTTACAGTTTGAATATCACTGTTAAGTGAAAAATGCAACCCTGTATTTTTTGTTGGCAATTTATTATTTTCTTTATATTTATAAAATTATAAATGAATCACTGTTTTTTATAACATAAACTAATATCAAAATTGATAATAATTTCTATATAAATAATAATACGTAATTTTAATATGGTACAAATAACATATTTCATGAATAATACCCCCAAAGTCGACCATATGATGGCGGCCAATGTCGACGGAAGTTAGAGTAGTTTATTCTAGAACTTTCGAGTGTTTTCTTGCATTTATTCATTGGTGTATAAATTCGGTTGCAAGCAGAGAACCGGCATTAGTCTTGTAACAGAACTTGAACAAAACGTGACTAAGGCGAGAAGCCAAACCAAGAAAAGAGGAACAAAGTCAAATTTTCTTTGAATAAACGGTGCAAAGTGAAGAAAAAGCAGTGAAATTTAAATTGCTAAAAGTTAATTAAAAAAGTAATTCTAAATTACAACACAAATTTCTGAAATCTTGTGAATTTATAAATAAAAAGCAAAGGTAAGACCAACCCGCCTGCCAGAACTGAATCGGATTACACAATTTAACTGTAAAAATGTGGGTGCAACTTAAATGCATGGTATCAATTTTTAAATATTGAAATCAAGATATTTGAAAAAAAAAAAAATAAATAAAATGGTTACATAGAGAAATTGTTCTCGAAAAAATGATGGATGTCATGGTGATTCACACCAACCTCCCCTTAACTAAAAAACGTGGAAAGCATTTTTGCCCCTTCAAACGTGAAAAACCAATTGGGGAAATGCCTTGTGAATTGCTTGGAGAAATTAAACATGAACCATTTAAAATAAAAATATAGAGTTAATATTGCGATACATCACAAGAAATCACTTTTTCACATAATGGATAATTGCACACCCCCCTCCCCCCAAACTTTTTACAGTTAACCCCCCTCCCTTCATCTTTTTTAACTTATTCCAATTTTCAGTTTAACAGTTTTCTAATCACGTGTATTTTTTTCCCTTTATTTTAGATGCCAGAAGAAGTTGAAACATTCGCTTTCCAAGCTGAGATTGCTCAGCTGATGTCACTGATCATCAACACATTCTACTCCAACAAAGAAATCTTCTTGCGTGAATTGATTTCCAACGCTTCCGATGCCTTGGATAAAATCCGCTATGAATCATTGACCGATCCCTCGAAATTGGATTCTGGCAAGGAATTGTATATCAAATTGATTCCCAACAAGACCGCTGGTACCTTGACCATCATTGATACCGGTATTGGTATGACCAAATCGGATTTGGTCAACAATTTGGGTACCATTGCCAAGTCTGGCACTAAGGCTTTCATGGAAGCGTTGCAGGCTGGCGCTGATATTTCTATGATTGGTCAATTTGGTGTAGGTTTCTATTCTGCCTACTTGGTTGCCGACAAAGTCACAGTCACCTCCAAACACAACGATGATGAACAATACGTTTGGGAATCGTCTGCTGGTGGCTCGTTCACAGTCCGTGCCGATGACTCTGAACCATTGGGTCGTGGTACCAAGATTGTTTTGTACATCAAGGAAGATCAGACTGACTACTTGGAGGAAAGCAAAATCAAGGAAATTGTCAACAAGCACTCTCAATTCATTGGTTATCCAATTAAATTGCTCGTAGAAAAAGAGCGCGACCAAGAAGTTTCCGATGATGAGGGTGAGGATGAAAAGAAGGAAGAAGAAAAGAAGGAAATGGAAACCGATGAAGCCAAGATCGAAGATGTTGGTGAGGATGAAGATGCCGACAAGAAGGATAAGGATGGCAAGAAGAAGAAGACCGTCAAGGTTAAGTACACAGAGGATGAAGAATTGAACAAGACCAAACCCATCTGGACTCGCAATCCCGATGACATCTCTCAAGCTGAATATGGAGAATTCTACAAATCCCTCACCAACGATTGGGAAGACCATTTGGCCGTCAAGCACTTCTCGGTTGAAGGTCAACTTGAATTCCGCGCCCTGCTCTTCATCCCCCGTCGCACACCATTCGATCTCTTCGAAAACCAAAAGAAACGCAACAACATCAAGTTGTACGTCCGTCGCGTATTCATCATGGACAACTGCGAAGATCTTATTCCTGAATACTTGAACTTCATCAAGGGTGTTGTCGACTCTGAAGATTTGCCCTTGAACATTTCTCGTGAAATGTTGCAACAAAACAAAGTATTGAAGGTTATCCGCAAGAACTTGGTCAAGAAGACCATGGAATTGATTGAAGAGCTCTCCGAAGACAAGGAACTCTACAAGAAGTTCTACGACCAATTCAGCAAGAACTTGAAATTGGGTGTCCATGAGGACAGCAACAACCGCGCTAAGATTTCCGACTTCTTGCGCTTCCACACATCCGCCTCCGGTGACGACTTCTGCTCCTTGGCCGATTACGTCTCCCGCATGAAGGAGAACCAGAAACACATCTACTTCATCACTGGTGAATCCAAGGAACAGGTTGCCAACTCAGCCTTCGTTGAACGTGTCAAGGCTCGTGGCTTTGAAGTTGTCTACATGACAGAACCCATCGATGAATACGTCATCCAACACTTGAAGGAATACAAGGGCAAGCAATTGGTCTCTGTTACCAAGGAAGGCTTGGAATTGCCTGAAGATGAGGAGGAAAAGAAGAAGCGCGAAGAGGACAAGACCAAATTCGAAAACCTCTGCAAGATCATGAAATCGATCTTGGACAACAAAGTCGACAAAGTTGTCGTTTCCAACCGTTTGGTTGAATCTCCATGCTGTATTGTAACATCACAGTTCGGTTGGTCCGCCAACATGGAACGTATCATGAAGGCTCAAGCTTTGCGTGATACCTCCACCATGGGATACATGGCTGGCAAGAAGCACTTGGAAATCAATCCCGATCATCCAATTATCGAAACCTTGCGTCAAAAGGCCGAAGCTGATAAGAATGACAAAGCTGTCAAGGACTTGGTTATCTTGTTGTTCGAGACCTCCCTGCTTTCATCTGGCTTCTCTCTACAAAGCCCACAAACCCATGCCAGCCGCATTTACCGCATGATCAAGCTTGGTCTCGGTATCGACGAAGACGAACCTATGGCTGCTGAAGAAACCCAAAGTGCCGCTGATGCTCCCCCATTGGTCGATGATACCGAAGATGCTTCTCACATGGAAGAAGTCGATTAAATACTTAACCCCTGCCCTTCCTCTTAACGTATAAGTAGCTTATAAGAGTTTACCACGTACTCGACAGACAACAGACTGTTGCAAGTAATTCCATGGATGTCTGGAACACATTAATGTAGTAGTTTTGTGTTTCTGATTCATTTGTGTTGTGTAAAATAGAAGAATTGACTACTCACCATTGCCGCGTTGTAAGCGGTAGCACATTCTGTGTGCGACATTCATCATTCATCAGTCAAATTCATATTTTATTTAAATTTACTATTTTTTTTTGTAAGATCGCAGTTTCTAAGGTTTGATTAAAAGAAAAAAAGAAATAAAATCCAAGCAACTATTTATAGATGACTATAATTTATGTTTTTTATTTTGTTTACTCCTATTTTTGGCGACAAAAATTTGTTTTTAGTGTTAGGTTCTTTGGTTGGAATTTGAAAATATTTTGATTTACAGAAAAACGAAGTTGAATGTAAATCGTTGTATTACAAAAGATATAAATAAAATACGCATCTGATCACAATTTCTAACATTTTTCGGTGAACTAAGGGAAGGTTTGAACTTGGGTATGATGTAAAGCGAGGATATACCTCCATGAAAAGGAAATATAAGTTGAACCAAGTTTATTAGAGGACCCTTTTGGGAAAGTCCATACTTCCCGTGTTATGGTTCAAAAAACGTTCCGTTAGTGCCTGGTATAATTACAGCGTTTTTGAGACCAAACCAGGCTACATGAGTTATTCAAAAATCTGTAAGTTCAGCCGGGCTGAACTTTGAATACCCTCCACCATTTGGAACGAATTTGCCAATTTTCAAAAAAATAAAATCCAATGTATCCGTGATATTAGGGTCTTACGACGATGTGGACCTGCAAAGGCAACTTTTATCATAAGCCATTAATTCAAGTGCGAAATTAGAAAAAAAATCGGTGAATAATGTAGCTAAAATCATCAAAATACCGAATATAGGGAGGTACCATTATATGGGGGCTATACCTAAACGTATTTTCTATCATAGGCTGTAATATCTATTACGAACTTCAAATACCAAATATGAAACAATTTCGGTGAATAATGTAGCTAAAATCATCAAAATACCAAATATCGGGAGGTGTCGTTATACGAAGGCGTGGACCAGAACGGACAATTTTCTGTCTAGGCTTCAAATACCAAATTTGAAACATTTCCGGTGAATAATGTCGCTTAAATCACTAAAATACCGAAACTAGGTGGTTTATATGGGGGCTAGACCAAAATGCGGACCTACATGGCCATTTTCAATGCCAAAAGTCCTGCAGACATAATATACATTTGAGTAAAATTTTATCAACCTACTTCATTTCGTTTGGAAGCTAGATCGATTTCCACAGACGGGCGAACATCGCTAAATCGACATAGAATTTTATGCTGATCAAGAACATATATACTTTGTGGGGTCTAAAATGTATATTTCGAGGTCCTACAAACGAAATGACAACCCTCCATACTATGGTCGAGGGTATAAAAAATATCGTTGTACCCAGGTTAAACTTTAATACGCGAGGGGGCAAGGACACTAAACCCTACACAAGCAAAAAAAAAAAAAAAAAAACATTCTCGTTGCTGTTGGCTTTGTGTTAATAATTGATGAAAAATACTCATTTGATTCAAATTTGGGGACAAATTGTCGCATTTGATATCGAAATTAATTTTGAACATGTACATTTTAGCTTGATGTATTTAGAGAATTCCGTCAGGTTCTCCACTTTTTGCAAAAAACTAAAGCTTTCAGGAGGAACAACATAGTACCAAAAGCTCAAAATTTAAATATGCCGACATGAGTTGTTTTTCCAGAAAACCACAGATTGGATAATGAAAAAGTGCACGAAATATCATATCAGGCTATTTTTTCAGTTTTTTTTTTGCGTTTTCAAGTTAAAGGGACCTATGCAATTGTCGCCTTTGCAGGGATAATGATCAATTTGGATATAAAAACAAATAAGTTACGTGCAATATGTTGTGCATTAAGTCTTCAAGGAATTTTTTATTTTGATTCAAGCAGAATTCAACTTATTTACTATGAGTCAATCTCTTTTTGAATCAGTTCCTTAATAGCTTCCATGGTCGTTACACCTTTACTAACCATAACTATTTTGTTGCGAGATCGTGAACCCTTATCTAGAGATACGTCGCTTTTTCTTAACTGCAACACTTTCGATAGATATTTCACCAATTCGGCATTTGCTTCTCCTTCACTGGGTGGTGCTGCTCTAAATAAAAAACAAAAGATTCATCAAACTAATGGTTTTTCAATAAAAAATAACCTTCTTTACATTTGGACTCCAACTCCTTCGGTTGAAATGTCTGTAATACCATTGTTTTTGGCACCTGGTTTTGCTAAAATTCTAATGCATATGTTTCCATTTTTGTCGGCCTGTATGGGATCATTGTTTGGAGCAGGTGATTGTGTTGTTGGGGCAGCAGCTTTTTTACTTTTGCTTTTAGACATTACTGATGATGAAATTTGGAAAAATCTTCGCATGTATGTATTAATTATATACATATATATCTATATTTATTATCACAAACTTTAGCTGGAGTCCAGCCTTCCTCAATGTCTGATTTTGTTTACGGTCCCATTAGGGATAGGTAAGTCGTCTTCCGATTAATCGAATAATCGACTCTGAGTACTCAAAGTTCTGAAACATGACTATGGACTTGGGTGAAAACCGAGTACTCGACTATTCATAGTCGATTGTTTAAAAAATTACAAAAAACTTATTTTGCCCTTAAGGGCTAAAGTGCTAAGTACATAAGAAGCTTGAAGTCATGGCTAGGCATATTAATGTCAAATTATAATGGAAAACGACGGCTGGATTTTAGTGCGGCTCTGTAATCCCTTTGTGAAATGTCACAAAATATGCCTAGCCATGACTTCAAGCTTCTTATGTACTTAGCCCTTTAGCCCTTAAGGGTAAAATAATTTTTTTGTAAATTTTTAAACAATCGACTATGAATGCCTAGCCATGACTTCAAGCTTTTTATGTACTTGCACCCTTACCCCCTGGTAAGCATTACCATCGTTCTCCACTGATAAACATTCGTAGTTTTTATAAAAACAACAATAATGGAATTAAGCCTGACCATTTTGCAAGAACAAAATACTATAATATCCCGAACAAACATGCCAACACTGTTCTATTAAAAAATATATATTGGAGATGAGTTCCACAAAATGGAAACGTACGTCCCGAAATTCACTCCATTTGGGCTGACATTGGCCATTATTTGCACAATAAACCTGAAATCAGACTAAGGATATATATGGGAGCTATATCTAAATCTTAGTCGAGCCCGATAAAATTTGGCAGAGGTATTTCCGAGCTCTATAAGATATCTGGCACCATATATCTGGTATCTGGAGGGACTTAAATACCAAATCGAATGAAACATATATATGGGAGTCATAGCTATATCTGAACTGATTTTCTCCGAATTCAATGTACTTGTTTCTAGACTGAATTCGGTCGGATGTACCAAAATTCAAGACTTTTGGACAGATATTGGCCATTTGGTGCACAATTAACCCGAAATCGTTTGAAGATATATATGGGAGCTACATCCAAATCTGACCCGATTATCACCAATTTCAATAGGGTTCGTCCTTGTATCAAACAAATATTGTTTGGAAAATTTTATCTCAATCGGATAATAAATGGGACCTGCATTTTTTTCACAAGAATACATAGACGGACGGACTGCCTTGTAATACCTTTAAGGTGTAAGCATGGTAGAAGAATATAGGTAGATAGGTAGAATGGGACACAAATCAGAGACGGAAAACTTTTTTTCTATTTTGTGAAATTTGAAAAATCAAATTATAGAAAATACAGAGATGCGTGTGATTATTTGAAATGACTTTACTTTCTTAATTCTCCCAACGTCAAATAGGTAGTGTTCATACAGGTAACAGCAAGTGTTGTTGTACAATAATCGTAGCAACAACCACATAGAAATTTGTTTTTGTACGTAACACAAATGTCAGAGTTATGTGCCCAAAAATGTAAACAAAATAATTAATTTTACATAAACTATTTTAATTTCAAAAATATACATTACATAGAGTCAAATCAGCTGGGACTTGCTTTTACCTGTAATAATTATACCATGGGTAGTGTTTTTTATGAAATTTGCTAGCTACCATGGTAGAAGAATATAAGTAGACGCATCGACGCAGCTGCTGGGGCAATGAACTGTCAAACCAATTTTGGGATTGAAAATATTGAACGAAAAATTATTTAAATTTGTAGAAATTGTTTAAAAACTCGAATTATAATAACCTCCGAATGACGCCATATAAGAAAACATATAAAACCTACTTATATTTGAAAAAGCATTTAAAAATTTTTGACATATCAATGTTCCCCAGCGTTGATGTGTCTTCCTATATTTTTCTACCATGCTAGATGCATTGCCTATTGATTTCTTCTGTGTAAACCCAGTTAACCTCAACAGCTGATATCCAAAGATATCAATGAACTTGCGTACCAATTTCACACAGTAATAAGAAGAAGCGTTTGTTTAGTGTTTTATTTTTTTTTTTTTTTGCATAATCCCCTCTCACATTTGTTCGTTTATGTGTAGCAGCTGTATGTAAAAAGTTTTATTAATTTTCTGTTTTATAATGATAATGTAAATAATATTTATAGTTACAGCATGCAAATGAAATAAATTATTTAATAAAAGACTTGTCGGTTTGCCAATATAATTTTTGTCCACATAGTACGTCACCATAAAGATCTTTCATAATCAAATTCTGTGATCGGATAAAACGTTCCAATAGTCGTTCCTACACCGAAAATATAATTGCAATAAATTAAAGACATCTTTGTAAAATTTAAAGCGAAATATATTTTTTTATAAGAATTTGTTCGCATGCAAAGAATTTTTATAAAGTAAGTATACATTAAATCATTTGTTAAACCTTATTGACGTTATATAATATCCCTAGGAAATCGAGAAGAACTCTTCGAAAGTCGTCTTATCCAAAGTGATGCTGGGATGCTGTTGAGAAATGTGTCATGTTTTGGCGCCAAAAGCTACCAGGTGCAGCAATCCCACGGCAGCGGGTTCTACGATACCGGATTGACCCGAAACAACAAGATTCCAGTTTCGGCCAGCGGCTGCCAACCCAGTATGTACATGTTTGTGTTTGTTTATTTTTCTGCATTGGGAGCAGCATATCCCGGAATGCTTGCTCCGGATTTTATTGGTCCGTGCCGGGATTGAGGAAAACCCCGGACCTTGGTTCTGCTCGGTTTGTCAGAACGTCATCCACCACAGATCTGTCTCGGTGCGATGTAATGGATGCAGAGAGTGGGTGCACTTCAAGAACTGTTCCGGATTAAGGCGTTTGCGAGACTACAGCGAAAGGGATTATGTTGCGACTTGCTGCAGTAACGTAGTCCCCAGCGAGTCCTCTTCTTCGTCGTCCTCGTCAGAGACGTCGTCGGAGTATGGCACTCCACCGCAGTCTCCAGAACAG